GCAGGAGGCGGAGTATGAGGAGGTGCAGGAGGAGGAGTATGAGGAGTTGCAGGAGGAAGAGTATGAGGAGGAGCAGGAGGAGGAGTATGAGGAGGTGCAGGAGGAGGAGGAGTATGAGGAGGTGCAGGAGGAGGAGTATGAGGAGGTGCAGCAGCAGGAGGAGTATGAGGAGGTGCAGGAGGAGGAGAATGAGGAGGTGCAGCAGGAGTATGAGGAGGTGCAGGAGGAAGAGTATGAGGAGGTGCAGGAGGAGGGGGAGTATGAGGAGGTGCAGGAGGAAGAGTATGAGGAGGTGCAGGAGGAGGAGTATGAGGAGGTGCAGCAGCAGGAGGAGTATGAGGAGGTGCAGGAGGAGTATGAGGAGGTGCAGCAGCAGGAGGAGTATGAGGAGGTGCAGCAGGAGTATGAGGAGGTGCAGGAGGAGGAGTATGAGGAGGTGCAGCAGGAGGAGGAGGAGGAGGAGGAGGTGCAGCAGGAGGAGGAGTATGAGGAGGTGCAGCAGGAGGAGGTGCATCAGGAGGAGGAGTATGAGGAGGTGCAGGAGGAGTATGAGGAGGTGCAGGAGGAGGAGGAGTATGAGGAGGTGCAGCAGGAGGAGGAGTATGAGGAGGTGCAGCAGGAGGAGGAGTATGAGGAGGTGCAGCAGGAGGAGGTGCAGCAGGAGGAGTATGAGGAGGTGCAGAAGCAGGAGGAGGTGCAGGAGGAGTATGAGGAGGTGCAGGAGGAGGAGTATGAGGAGGTGCAGCAGGAGGAGTATGAGGAGGTGCAGCAGGAGGAGGTGCAGCAGGAGGAGGAGCAGCAGCAGGAGGTGCAGCAGGAGAATGAGGAGGTGCAGCAGGAGGAGTATGAGGAGGTGCAGCAGGAGGAGGTGCAGCAGGAGTACCTGGCACTGCCGGAGATAAGGAGTGATTCTTGACGGCTCGATGGTTTTGAGGAGCAGCAGCCGGAAGTCCTCCAGCTGCAGCCAGAGGGCGTCCTCACTGTCCATCTGAGGACACACCGAGTACTAGTACACACTCTGAGTACTGATACACACAGCGAGTACTGATACACACTCTGAGTACTGATACACACTCTGAGTACTGATACACACACCGAGTACTGATACACACACCGAGTACTAGTACACACACCGAGTACTAGTACACACTCTGAGTACTGATACACACAGCGAGTACTGATACACACTCTGAGTACTGATACACACACCGAGTACTAGTACACACTCTGAGTACTGATACACACAGCGAGTACTGATACACACTCTGAGTACTGATACACACAGCGAGTACTGATACACACAGCGAGTACTGATACATACTCTGAATACTGATACACACAGCGAGTACTGATACACACAGCGAGTACTTATACACACTCTGAGTACTGATACACACACCGAGTACTAGTACACACTCTGAGTACTGATACACACAGCGAGTACTGATACACACTCTGAGTACTGATACACACAGCGAGTACTAGTACACACTCTGAGTACTGATACACACAGCGAGTACTGATACACACTCTGAGTACTGATACACACAGCGAGTACTGATACACACAGCGAGTACTGATACATACTCTGAATACTGATACACACAGCGAGTACTGATACACACAGCGAGTACTTATACACACTCTGAGTACTTATACACACTCTGAATACTGATACACACTCTGAAGGTTTTGGATGTTACTTCAGGTAAACTCTGAGTTTTCGGACGTGTCTGATATTATAGTTTACTTTTCATTCACGAAGTTTGACGCTGCGCTGTCACTGTCTCCATGTTTGTGATTGGTCAAATGTTGCTAACCCCGCCCCTTTCATGTGATTGGCTGTTAGCCAGATAGAGAAACTGTGGTTGATTTACCGAGTTGATAACCAGCGTCGTAGATCTCGATTGTCAGGGTTAGTTTAGATAACTCACATATATCCAGGGTTAGTTTAGATAGCTCACAGATATCCAGGGTTAGTTTAGATAGCTCACATATATCCAGGGTTAGTTTAGATAGCTCACAGATATCCAGGGTTAGAACTTTAGATAACTCACATATATCCAGGGTTAGTTTAGATAACTCAGATATCCAGGGTTAGTTTAGATAACTCAGATATCCAGGGTTAGTTTAGATAACTCACAGATATCCAGGGTTAGTTTAGATAACTCAGATATCCAGGGTTAGTTTAGATAACTCACAGATATCCAGGGTTAGTTTAGATAGCTCACATATATCCAGGGTTAGTTTAGATAACTCAGATATCCAGGGTTAGTTTAGATAACTCACATATATCCAGGGTTAGTTTAGATAGCTCACAGATATCCAGGGTTAGTTTAGATAACTCACAGATATCCAGGGTTAGTTTAGATAGCTCACAGATATCCAGGGTTAGTTTAGATAACTCACATATATCCAGGGTTAGTTTAGATAACTCAGATATCCAGGGTTAGTTTAGATAACTCAGATATCCAGGGTTAGTTTAGATAACTCACAGATATCCAGGGTTAGTTTAGATAACTCACATATATCCAGGGTTAGTTTAGATAACTCAGATATCCAGGGTTAGTTTAGATAACTCACAGATATCCAGGGTTAGTTTAGATAACTCACATATATCCAGGGTTAGTTTAGATAACTCACAGATATCCAGGGTTAGTTTAGATAGCTCACAGATATCCAGGGTTAGTTTAGATAACTCACATATATCCAGGGTTAGTTTAGATAACTCAGATATCCAGGGTTAGTTTAGATAGCTCACATATATCCAGGGTTAGTTTAGATAGCTCACAGATATCCAGGGTTAGTTTAGATAACTCACAGATATCCAGGGTTAGTTTAGATAGCTCACAGATATCCAGGGTTAGTTTAGATAGCTCACAGATATCCAGGGTTAGTTTAGATAACTCACATATATCCAGGGTTAGTTTAGATAACTCAGATATCCAGGGTTAGTTTAGATAGCTCACATATATCCAGGGTTAGTTTAGATAGCTCACAGATATCCAGGGTTAGTTTAGATAACTCACAGATATCCAGGGTTAGTTTAGATAGCTCACAGATATCCAGGGTTAGTTTAGATAACTCACAGATATCCAGGGTTAGTTTAGATAACTCACATATCCAGGGTTAGTTTAGATAACTCAGATATCCAGGGTTAGTTTAGATAACTCAGATATCCAGGGTTAGTTTAGATAACTCAGATATCCAGGGTTAGTTTAGATAACTCAGATATATCCAGGGTTAGTTTAGATAACTCAGATATCCAGGGTTAATTTAGATAACTCAGATCTCCAGGGTTAGTTTAGATAACTCAGATATCCAGGGTTAGTTTAGATAACTCAGATATCCAGGGTTAGTTTAGATAACTCAGATATCCAGGGTTAGTTTAGATAACTCACAGATATCCAGGGTTAGTTTAGATAACTCAGATATCCAGGGTTAGTTTAGATAACTCAGATATCCAGGGTTAGTTTAGATAACTCAGATATCCAGGGTTAGTTTAGATAACTCACAGATATCCAGGGTTAGTTTAGATAACTCAGATATCCAGGGTTAGTTTAGATAACTCAGATATCCAGGGTTAGTTTAGATAACTCAGATATCCAGGGTTAGTTTAGATAACTCACATATATCCAGGGTTAGTTTAGATAACTCACAGATATCCAGGGTTAGTTTAGATAGCTCACAGATATCCAGGGTTAGTTTAGATAGCTCACAGATATCCAGGGTTAGTTTAGATAACTCACAGATATCCAGGGTTAGTTTAGATAACTCAGATATCCAGGGTTAGTTTAGATAACTCACAGATATCCAGGGTTAGTTTAGATTACTCAGATATCCAGGGTTAGTTTAGATAACTCACAGATATCCAGGGTTAGTTTAGATTACTCAGATATCCAGGGTTAGTTTAGATAACTCACAGATATCCAGGGTTAGTTTAGATAACTCACATATATCCAGGGTTAGTTTAGATAACTCACAGATATCCAGGGTTAGTTTAGATAACTCACAGATATCCAGGGTTAGTTTAGATAGCTCACAGATATCCAGGGTTAGTTTAGATAACTCACAGATATCCAGGGTTAGTTTAGATAACTCAGATATCCAGGGTTAGTTTAGATAACTCACAGATATCCAGGGTTAGTTTAGATTACTCAGATATCCAGGGTTAGTTTAGATAACTCAGATATCCAGGGTTAGTTTAGATAACTCAGATATCCAGGGTTAGTTTAGATAACTCAGATATCCAGGGTTAGTTTAGATAACTCACATATATCCAGGGTTAGTTTAGATAACTCACAGATATCCAGGGTTAGTTTAGATAGCTCACAGATATCCAGGGTTAGTTTAGATAGCTCACAGATATCCAGGGTTAGTTTAGATAACTCACAGATATCCAGGGTTAGTTTAGATAACTCAGATATCCAGGGTTAGTTTAGATAACTCACAGATATCCAGGGTTAGTTTAGATTACTCAGATATCCAGGGTTAGTTTAGATAACTCACAGATATCCAGGGTTAGTTTAGATTACTCAGATATCCAGGGTTAGTTTAGATAACTCACAGATATCCAGGGTTAGTTTAGATTACTCAGATATCCAGGGTTAGTTTAGATAACTCACAGATATCCAGGGTTAGTTTAGATAGCTCACAGATATCCAGGGTTAGTTTAGATAGCTCACAGATATCCAGGGTTAGTTTAGATAACTCACAGATATCCAGGGTTAGTTTAGATAACTCAGATATCCAGGGTTAGTTTAGATAACTCACAGATATCCAGGGTTAGTTTAGATTACTCAGATATCCAGGGTTAGTTTAGATAACTCACAGATATCCAGGGTTAGTTTAGATTACTCAGATATATCCAGGGTTAGTTTAGATAACTCACAGATATCCAGGGTTAGTTTAGATAACTCCGATATCCAGGGTTAGTTTAGATAACTCACAGATATCCAGGGTTAGTTTAGATAACTCACATATATCCAGGGTTAGTTTAGATAACTCACAGATATCCAGGGTTAGTTTAGATAGCTCACAGATATCCAGGGTTAGTTTAGATAGCTCACATATGTCCAGGGTTAGTTTAGATAGCTCACATATATCCAGGGTTAGTTTAGATAGCTCACAGATATCCAGGGTTAGTTTAGATAGCTCACAGATATCCAGGGTTAGTTTAGATAACTCACAGATATCCAGGGTTAGTTTAGATAACTCACATATATCCAGGGTTAGTTTAGATAACTCACAGATATCCAGGGTTAGTTTAGATAGCTCACATATATCCAGGGTTAGTTTAGATAACTCACAGATATCCAGGGTTAGTTTAGATAACTCAGATATATCCAGGGTTAGTTTAGATAACTCACAGATATCCAGGGTTAGTTTAGATAACTCACAGATATCCAGGGTTAGTTTAGATAGCTCACAGATATCCAGGGTTAGTTTAGATAGCTCACAGATATCCAGGGTTAGTTTAGATAACTCACATATATCCAGGGTTAGTTTAGATAACTCAGATATCCAGGGTTAGTTTAGATAACTCACAGATATCCAGGGTTAGTTTAGATTACTCAGATATCCAGGGTTAGTTTAGATAACTCACAGATATCCAGGGTTAGTTTAGATAGCTCACATATATCCAGGGTTAGTTTAGATAACTCAGATATCCAGGGTTAGTTTAGATAGCTCACATATATCCAGGGTTAGTTTAGATAACTCACAGATATCCAGGGTTAGTTTAGATTACTCAGATATCCAGTTTACAAAATAAATGTGTTATTATCAGTCCGTGCCGTTTCAAACCAAAGAACAGAAAAACTCTCCACTCTTTAAGCCCAGCTGATAAACCCCGCCTCCAGGACCACTAATGAACACCTGGACTCAGGTTCCACTCAATACTCTAATCAATCAATCAATCAATCAATCAATCAACAAACATTAGATATAAACTCATCGTGTCGCTCCTCTAAAGTCTCACCTTCAGTCGTCCGGTGCTTCTCTCTTCTCCTGTGATTTCTGAGGAAGAAGTCCTTTCTGTCACTTCCTGTTTTTGGATCTGCCCCCTCAGACTCAGAATGGACCAATCAGGTTGCAGCGGCTCCTCCTCATTAACATATTTAAACCGGTGATCTTCCCTGTTGGGTCTCAACACTGAATACTACAGAAATATAATGAAGTACTTATGAAGTATCTTCTTCAGTCTAACTTACGTATTCAATCTAGTTTCATATAAAATATAATAGGTTATGTTTTAAAGTTTTAATAAGTCATGTTTTAGGATCTGATCCTCTCAGCAGAGATTGGACAGAAAGAGGAAGAAGAGAAGAAGAAGTCAGTGAAACAGGAAGTGATGTCACAGCACTCAAATTCCTGGAAATCTGATAAAGAGGAAGTGAAACAAACAGGAAGTTACAAGCTTTACCAACAACATAAACCATGTCACCACAAACCACCATGTCCCCACAAACCACCATGTCCCCACTAACCATGTCACCACAAACCACCATGTCCCCACAAACCATGTCCCCACTAACCATGTCCCCACAAACCACCATGTCCCCACAAACTACCATGTCCCCACAAACCACCATGTCCCCACTAACCATGTCCCCACATACCATGACCCTCATGTCCAGGTCTCAGACAAACAGACAACTTTATTTCAAATAAACGTCTTTATTACAGAACAATCTTCTCAATATAACTTTTACATTTACAGAAAACTGTATAAAACGCGAACAACAAAAAAACAAACACCACAGACGGTGCATTGTTCACGTGTCTTCCTGATGTTCCTGAACACACCACAGACGGTGCATTGTTCACGTGTTTTCCTGATGTTCCTGAACACACCACAGAGCTGCAAACTGTCCTGTTTAGTTTGGGAAGTTTCTCCACTAAAAACATTAAAATATAAAACTGCCAACTTGTTTATTTTCTGAACATTCTCAGGGACTTCTTCAGCGGAGTACTGTGAGGTCTCAGTGGACAGAGTCCTGCGAGGACACTTTATCTGTGAGGTCTCAGTGGACAGAGTCCTGTGAGGACACTTTATCTGTGAGGTCTCAGTGGACAGAGTCCTGTGAGGACACTTTATCTGTGAGGTCTCAGTGGACAGAGTCCTGCGAGGACACTTTATCTGTGAGGTCTCAGTGGACAGAGTCCTGTGAGGACACTTTATCTGTGAGGTCTCAGTGGACAGAGTCCTGCGAGGACACTTTATCTGTGAGGTCTCAGTGGACAGAGTCCTGCGAGGACACTTTATCTGTGAGGTCTCAGTGGACAGAGTCCTGTGAGGACACTTTATCTGTGAGGTCTCAGTGGACAGTGTCCTGAAGGTCTGGATTTGTCTGGATCCCTGAGAAGTGATTGGCTGGAGCTCCAGGCCCGTCTTCCAGCAGGACAGATCTCTGCAGGAACAAACAGGAATACACAGTGTGAATACAGGGAATAAATGAGCTTTTAGCCTTTTTAGCCTGGTTAGCTTTTAGCCTGGTTAGCTTTTAGCCTTTAGCCTGGTTAGCTTTTAGCTAGGTTAGCTTTTAACACGGTTAGCTTTTAGCTCGGTTAGCTTTTAGCCTGGTTAGCTTTTAGCCAGGTTAGCTTTTAGCCCGGTTAGCTTTTAGCTCGGTTAGCTTTTAGCCCGGTTAGCTTTTAGCCCGGTTAGCTTTTAGCCCGGTTAGCTTTTAGCCCGGTTAGCTTTTAGCCTTTAGCCTGGTTAGCTTTTAGCCTGGTTAGCTTTTAGCTAGGTTAGCTTTTAACACGGTTAGCTTTTAGCTCGGTTAGCTTTTAGCCTGGTTAGCTTTTAGCCTGGTTAGCTCTTAGCCAGGTTAGCTTTTAGCCCGGTTAGCTTTTAGCTAGGTTAGCTTTTAACATGGTTAGCTTTTAGCCTGGTTAGCTTTTAGCCTGGTTAGCTTTTAGCCTGGTTAGCTTTTAGCCAGGTTAGCTCTTAGCCAGGTTAGCTCTTAGCCCGGTTAGCTCTTAGCCCGGTTAGCTCTTAGCTCGGTTAGCTTTTAGCCCGGTTAGCTTTTAGCCCGGTTAGCTTTTAGCCTCAACCTATCCTAAGGGAGTGCATGTACGTAGACACGTTGTGCCTCTCCACCTCTGTTCCTTACTTCTTACTTGCTACCCCTTATCCCTCCAGGGTTCCTGCAGGTTTCACCAACTCAAATGTAAGACTTTTTAAGACCTTTTTAAGACCTTTTTAAGACCTTTTTAAGGCCTTTTTAAGACCTTTTTAAAACCACTTTGAATAGAATTTAAGACCTATTTCACGGCAAGAAAGTATGAAGGAAAATTGCAATGAAAGAAGAAATACGTCCATGAAATGTATTCATGTTCAACATAAGAACGATGACTGAACATAACAGTACACAGAACTCTGTTAGCGTGTTAGACAAAAAGTGTGTGTGTCTGTGTGTGTGTGTGTGTGTGTGTGTGTGTGTGTGTCTGTGTGTGTAGTGCTAGATCGTATACCTCCTGGGTTTTAGGCCGCAGAAGTGACGTGATCGTGGATGAGAAGTCGGCAACTTTTGTATTAAAAGTTTAACGTTTACCCTAAATAGAGGAGAGTTCTGCTCACGCACGTCTTGTCACAAATATGAGGTTCATTAACGAATAATGAGATCATACTCTATAACAACATTAAAATGTGTGAAATATACTTACATTATTTCAATAATAATGGTTTGATTATTAAATAATAACTTACAGTTCTTATTTGTGTTGCATTTGTGGATAAAACCCAAAGAACATTTAGGATATAAATACTGGTCAGATATCCACCAGATCTTTTAGTGATTTTTGTCTCTCTTGGAGAAATTAAATTGCAACATCAAATACAAAAGTTAATCTGAAACAAACTCAAATACCAAAATGAAATTAATCCACAAATCATGATTGTTATAACTTAAATGTTATACCTGGAAACACAAATACACAACCGAAAATAATACATTTAATATGCTCGTCTTTTGTCCTGGGTGGCAGATTACGTCACTTCCGCTGCCTAAAACCCAGGAGGGGATCTAGCCGCTGCTGCACTAGCTAACGCTACATTAGCAAAACAAACGCTATTTTTTTGCAAAAGGTGCAGCGGGCTTCAAACACGTTCCCCTCCACTGGTTTTAACCAAGCACTAAATTCGATGTTTTCCAACCAAATACGGTTGAACTTACACTTCCCCATATTTGTTTGTAAATAGATTTGAAGATACCAAGGTTCCTGACTGCCGCTAGCTTGGTTGCTAGGTTACTAGCTGGGTGTTCTCCGATAAGGGGCCGTGGGAAACAAAGTTAGTGATGACTGGTTCCATGTTGATTTATTTTAATACAAATTGTTGGGTGGAACTGAAGGGCTCTCACCGTACTGGTTACTTTGCAGCCCAGACATTTCCCCCAAAACACATTTAGACGCGATCTCAACACAGAAGTACCTTTCAAATCCCATCATTTTTAAGACCTTCTAAATCATATTTAATTTAATGAAAAGCCTGGCTTTTAGCTCGGTTAGCTTTTAGCTCGGTTAGCTTTTAGCCCGGTTATCTTTTAGCCCGGTTAGCTTTTAGCCCGGTTAGCTTTTAGCCCGGTTAGCTTTTAGCCCGGTTATCTTTTAGCCCGGTTAGCTTTTAGCTCGGTTAGCTTTTAGCCCGGTTAGCTTTTAGCCCGGTTATCTTTTAGCCCGGTTATCTTTTAGCTCGGTTAGCTTTTAGCCCGGTTAGCTTTTAGCTCGGTTAGCTTTTAGCCTGGTTATCTTTTAGCTCGGTTAGCTTTTAGCTCGGTTAGCTTTTAGCCTCGTTAGCTTTTAGCCCGGTTAGCTTTTAGCCCGGTTAGCTTTTAGCCTGGTTAGCTGTTAGCTAGGTTATCTTTTAGCCCGGTTAGCTTTACTTTAGGTCTATAACGTCGTTAAAACTAATTTGCGTCTGTGATATTTTCCCATGCCCTTCGACCCCTCTCTCTAACGATTGTACACGGTGGTTTCAGAGACTCACCCTTCCTCTCCTCTTTCCTCCTTTGATCCTCTTCAACACCTCCTCTATCTCCTCTTCCTCATCCTCCTCTTCCTCCTCCTCCTCTGGCACAGTCTTCTTTGTGATTGGCTGCAGGCTGGCGAGGAGGGCGGGCACAGTGAAGCAGGACAGGAAGCGCGCCTTCAGCAGCTGGTAGGCGGGGTTACCTGAGAAACGCTCTGCCACCAGCTGACGTGTCACTGCCACAAGCTCCGCCTCCTTCACTAGCTCCGCCTTCTTCGCTAGCTCCGCCTCCTCCTCGGGGGGGACGGAGGGGGCTGCAGGGGAGAGAAAAAACGTCCACATTTGATCTTGTTCATTACAGAAGCCTCCGTGCACCGGGGCGAGGAAACATACAGACATTATATCCCAACGTGTTTTGTGGGGATTTTCAGAAAAAGTCGGAATTCTCCGATTTCAGAAAAAAACAACATTTTAAGATTTTCAGAAAATGTTTAGAATTTCAATATAAAGTCAACATTTTTAGAATGTCTTGAGGATACATGCGCAGCGTTTACTAAAAGCTGCAGAAACCAAACGCTGAAGAAGCTCAAAACACAACGGAGATGTTACACGAGATAGTAAACTAGAATGCTTTTCAGCCATAAACCTTGAACAATTGAATTCAATGATTCTCTCTTCTAAACCATCAACGTGTATCTTAGACCCGATTCCCACTAAGCTGTTAAAGGACGTTTTTCCATTAATTAGCACTTCTTTATTAAATGTTATGAATATGTCTTTATTATCAGGCTATGTTCCACAATCATTCAAAGTAGCAGTGATAAAACCGCTTCTTAAAAAGCACAACCTCGATCCAGAGGTTTCAGCCAACTATAGACCTATTTCTAATCTTCCGTTCCTCTCAAAGATTCTTGAGAAAGCAGTCTCAAAACAGTTGTGTGATTACTTAAAAAACAATGATTTATTTGAAGATGTTCAGTCTGGCTTTAGAACACATCATAGCACAGAGACAGCTCTGGTTAAAGTCACAAATGACCTTCTAATAGCCTCAGACAAAGGACTTGTCTCTATTCTTGTCTTGCTCGATCTCAGTGCTGCATTTGATCCTATCGACCATGACATCTTATTGCAAAGACTAGAGCACTTAGTAGGCATACAGGGAACTGCTTTAGGCTGGTTTAGGTCCTATCTATCTGAACGCTCTCAGTTTGTGTGTCAACGATGAATCTTCCATGCAGACCAAAGTTAGCCATGGAGTGCCACAGGGCTCAGTGCTAGGACCTATTTTGTTCACATTATATATGCTTCCGTTAGGCAATATTATAAGGAGTCATTCTGTACATTTTCACTGTTATGCGGATGATACTCAACTATATTTATCCATCAAGCCTGATGAAATTAATCATCTAAATAAAATTCAAGACTGCCTCAAGGACTTAAAAACGTGGATGAGCTTAAAGTTTTTTAAACACGGCCAAAACTGAAGTTATTGTACTCGGCCCAAAGAATCTACGAAACAAATGATCTAAAGATATACTAACTATGGATGGCATTAATTTGGCCTCCAGTGAGACTGTAAGGAACCTTGGTGTTCCAGTGAGACTGTAAGGAACCTTGGTGTTCCAGTGAGACTGTAAGGAACCTTGGTGTTCCAGTGAGACTGTGAGGAACCTTGGTGTTCCAGTGAGACTGTAAGGAACCTTGGTGTTCCAGTGAGACTGTGAGGAACCTTGGTGTTCCAGTGAGACTGTGAGGAACCTTGGTGTTCCAGTGAGACTGTAAGGAACCTTGGTGTTCCAGTGAGACTGTAAGGAACCTTGGTGTTCCAGTGAGACTGTGAGGAACCTTGGTGTTCCAGTGAGACTGTGAGGAACCTTGGTGTTCCAGTGAGACTGTAAGGAACCTTGGTGTTCCAGTGAGACTGTAAGGAACCTTGGTGTTCCAGTGAGACTGTGAGGAACCTTGGTGTTCCAGTGAGACTGTAAGGAACCTTGGTGTTCCAGTGAGACTGTAAGGAACCTTGGTGTTCTAGTGAGACTGTGAGGAACCTTGGTGTTCCAGTGAGACTGTGAGGAACCTTGGTGTTCCAGTGAGACTGTGAGGAACCTTGGTGTTCCAGTGAGACTGTAAGGAACCTTGGTGTTCCAGTGAGACTGTGAGGAACCTTGGTGTTCCAGTGAGACTGTAAGGAACCTTGGTGTTCCAGTGAGACTGTGAGGAACCTTGGTGTTCCAGTGAGACTGTGAGGAACCTTGGTGTTCCAGTGAGACTGTAAGGAACCTTGGTGTTCCAGTGAGACTGTGAGGAACCTTGGTGTTCCAGTGAGACTGTGAGGAACCTTGGTGTTATATTTGATCAGGATTTATCCTTTAACGCCCACATAAAATCAATCTAAAGGACCGCCTACTTCCATCTACGTAACATTGCAAAAATCAGGCATATCTTGCCTCCAAACGATGCAGAGAAACTAGTCCATGCATTTGTTACTTCTAGGCTGGATGATTGTAACTCTTTATTATCAGGGTGTACCAAGAAGTCAGTGAAGTCTCTTCAGCTGATTCAAAATGCTGCAGCTCGTGTACTAACCAGAGTTAGGAAAAGGGACCACATTACTCCTGCTCTGGCTGCCTTACACTGGCTCCCTAGAGAACACAGGATAGCATTTAGAATTCTTGTTCTCACCAACAAAGCCCTTAATGGGCAGGCGCCATCTTACCTTAAAGAACTCATTATACCCTACTGGCCTACTAGGGCATTGCGTTCCTAGAATGCAGGGTTGTTGGTTGTTCCTATAGTCTCTAAAAGTACAATGGGAGCCAGAGCCTTTTCTTATCAAGCTCCACTTTTGTGGAATCAGCTTCCAGTTTGTGTTCGGGCGGCAGACAGCCTATCTGTTTTTAAGAGTGCGCTTAAGACCTTCCTTTTTGATAAAGCTTATAGTTAGGGCTGATTAGATTCAGCCCCTAGTTTAGCTGCTATAGGCTTAGACTGTCGGGGGACACCTTACTTCTTCCTTCTCTCTGTCTGTACCTGTGTACTCTCATGTTCCCAATAACACAGCTTCCCCACATCTCTCTTTGGTGTCTATCTACGCCGGGATCTTGAGTCGTGGCTGATCCTGTTGCTGTGGTCCTGAGTCCTGGATCCTCTATCCTGAGTCCTGGATCGCGATCCCTGGATCCTGAGTCGTGGCTGATCGTGCTGCTGTGGTCCTGGATCATAAGTCCTGGATGGATATCCTCGTGGATTCATCTTCTTATTATAGACACATGCATTTCCAAACATTCGGTCTACCTATGTTGTAAAATGTATTATCTTTTCGATTTACACACGGCATCTATTGCACGTCTGTCCGTCCTGGGAGAGGGATCCCTCCTCTGTTGCTCTCCCTGAGGTTTCTCCATGTTCCTTTAAACTGTGGGGTTTCTCTGGAAGTGTTTCCTTGTACGATGTGAGGGTCTAAGGACAGAGGGTCTAAGGACAGAGGGTCTAAGGACAGAGGGGGTCGTATTGTCACTGATATTCTGTACAAACTGTGAAGTCCACTGAGACTAATGTAACATTTGTGATATTGGGCTATAAATAAACATTGATTGATTGATTGAACGGAGACCAGGGGACACTAAAGAGTGACGCACACAGCTGGAGACCAGGGGACACTAAAGAGTGACGCACACAGCTGGAGACCAGGGGACACTAAAGAGTGACGCACACAGCTGGGAGACCAGGGGACACTAAAGAGTGACGCACACAGCTGGAGACCAGGGGACACTAAAGAGTGACGCACACAGCTGGAGACCAGGGGACACTACAGAGTGACGCACACAGCTGGGAGACCAGGGGACACTAAAGAGTGACGCACACAGCTAGAGACCAGGGGACACTGAAGAGTGACGCACACAGCTGGAGACCAGGGGACACTAAAGAGTGACGCACACAGCTGGGAGACCAGGGGACACTAAAGAGTGACGCACACAGCTGGAGACCAGGGGACACTAAAGAGTGACGCACACAGCTGGAGACCAGGGGACACTAAAGAGTGACGCACACAGCTGGAGACCAGGGGACACTAAAGAGTGACGCACACAGCTGGGAGACCAGGGGACACTAAAGAGTGACGCACACAGCTGGGAGACCAGGGGACACTAAAGAGTGACGCACACAGCTGGAGACCAGGGGACACTAAAGAGTGACGCACACAGCTGGGAGACCAGGGGACACTAAAGAGTGACGCACACAGCTCTATCTTATTTGAACAACGTGATCACATGACTCCTTCTGATGTCACTGCAGATCTGCTGTAGCTAACCTACAGTTATGAGACGACTAACTCTGAGACAGAGACAGTTGTCCAACATTTATGATCCTGAACTATGCAGAATATTTTCCAGTAAAGCAGAAGAGGAACAACTTCAGCTTCTGTTTGTTCAGTATTTACATCTACTTTCAATGTTTACCTTGCTTTGTATCAGAGACAGATACTTTATACTAACAGTACTGTACTGGTGTGTGCCCAGTGTCTCCCAGTGTCTCCCAGTGTCTCCCAGTGTCTCCCAGTGTCTCCCAGCGTCTCCCAGCGTCTCCCAGCGTCTCCCAGCGTCTCCCAGCGTCCCCCAGTGTCTCCCAGCGTCCCCCAGTGTCTCCCAGTATCTCCCAGCCCCAGCGTCTCCCAGCGTCTCCCAGCGTCTCCCAGCGTCCCCCAGTGTCTCCCAGCGTCCCCCAGCGTCTCCCAGCGTCTCCCAGCCCCAGCGTCTCCCAGCGTCTCCCAGCTTCTCCCAGCTTCTCCCAGCGTCTCCCAGACCCAGCGTCTCCCAGCCCCAGCGTCTCCCAGTATCTCCCAGCGTCTCCCAGCGTCTCCCAGCTTCTCCCAGCGTCTCCCAGCGTCTCCCAGACCCAGCGTCTCCCAGACCCAGCGTCTCCCAGCGTCTCCCAGCGTCTCCCAGCGTCTCCCAGCCCCAGCGTCTCCCAGCGTCTCCCAGCCCCAGCGTCTCCCAGTGTCTCCCAGCGTCTCCCAGCCCCAGCGTCTCCCAGCGTCTCCCAGCCCCAGCGTCTCCCAGCTTCTCCCAGCGTCTCCCAGCGTCTCCCAGCCCCAGCGTCTCCCAGTATCTCCCAGCGTCTCCCAGCGTCTCCCAGCTTCTCCCAGCGTCTCCCAGCGTCTCCCAGACCCAGCGTCTCCCAGACCCAGCGTCTCCCAGCGTCTCCCAGCGTCTCCCAGCCCCAGCGTCTCCCAGCGTCTCCCAGCCCCAGCGTCTCCCAGTGTCTCCCAGCGTCTCCCAGCCCCAGCGTCTCCCAGCGTCTCCCAGCCCCAGCGTCTCCCAGCTTCTCCCAGCGTCTCCCAGCGTCTCCCAGCGTCTCCCAGCCCAGCGTCTCCCAGTATCTCCCAGCGTCTCCCAGCGTCTCCCAGCGTCTCCCAGCTTCTCCCAGCTTCTCCCAGCGTCTCCCAGCTTCTCCCAGCGTCTCCCAGACCCAGCGTCTCCCAGCCCCAGCGTCTCCCAGTATCTCCCAGCGTCTCCCAGCGTCTCCCAGACCCAGCGTCTCCCAGCGTCTCCCAGCGTCTCCCAGCGTCTCCCAGTGTCTCCCAGCCCCAGTGTCTCCCAGCGTCTCCCAGCCCCAGTGTCTCCCAGCGTCTCCCAGTGTCTCTCCCAGCCCCAGTGTCTCCCAGCGTCTCCCAGCGTCTCCCAGCGTCTCCCAGCCCCAGCGTCTCCCAGCGTCTCCCAGCCCCAGCGTCTCCCAGTGTCTCTCCCAGCCCCAGTGTCTCCCAGCGTCTCCCAGCGTCTCCCAGCGTCTCCCAGCGTCTCCCAGCCCCAGTGTCTCCCAGCGTCTCCCAGCGCCTCCCAGCGTCTCCCAGCCCCAGCGTCTCCCAGTGTCTCCCAGCGTCTCCCAGTGTCTCCCAGCCCCAGCGTCTCCCAGCGTCTCCCAGCGTCTCCCAGCGTCTCCCAGCCCCAGCGTCTCCCAGCGTCTCCCAGCATCTCCCAGCGTCTCCCAGCGTCTCCCAGCCCCAGCGTCTCCCAGTATCTCCCAGCGTCTCCCAGCGTCTCCCAGCTTCTCCCAGCGTCTCCCAGCGTCTCCCAGACCCAGCGTCTCCCAGACCCAGCGTCTCCCAGCCCCAGCGTCTCCCAGTATCTCCCAGCGTCTCCCAGACCCAGCGTCTCCCAGACCCAGCGTCTCCCAGCGTCTCCCAGCCCCAGCGTCTCCCAGTGTCTCCCAGCGTCTCCCAGTGTCTCCCAGCGTCTCCCAGCCCCAGCGTCTCCCAGCCCCAGCGTCTCCCAGTGTCTCCCAGCCCCAGTGTCTCCCAGCGTCTCCCAGCGTCTCCCAGCCCCAGCGTCTCCCAGTGTCTCTCCCAGCCCCAGTGTCTCCCAGCGTCTCCCAGCGTCTCCCAGCCCCAGCGTCTCCCAGTGTCTCTCCCAGCCCCAGTGTCTCCCAGCGTCTCCCAGCCCCAGTGTCTCCCAGCGTCTCCCAGCCCCAGCGTCTCCCAGTGTCTCCCAGCCCCAGTGTCTCCCAGCCCCAGCGTCTCCCAGTGTCTCCCTGCCCCAGCGTCTCCCAGTGTCTCCCAGCGTCTCCCAGTGTCTCCCAGCCCCAGCGTCTCCCAGCCCCAGCGTCTCCCAGCGTCTCCCTGCCCCAGCGTCTCCCAGCGTCTCCCTGCCCCAGCATCTCCCAGCGTCTCCCAGTGTCTCCCAGCGTCTCCCAGTGTCTCCCAGCCCCAGCGTCTCCCAGTGTCTCCCAGCCCCAGCGTCTCCCATGCGGCTTTCACACCAGCGCTTTTCCCTTTCTAGCTCCTAGCGAGAGCTTTTCTGGTTCTGCTCCGGTTTCCCTTTTCAGCTCCCGCTCTGTTCACACCGCCCAGCTGCCGCTGCTGCGTCATGACGTCACCGTTTACGTCGCTGAGTTTCTCCCCAACGGAGCTCACAACAACAACGGGGGGGGGACTGCGTCGGGTCGATGATCGTGTTGCTTTTAATCATACGAAGCCAGATTAAATGAAATAACGACTTCTCCAACCTTATACTTTTCTCCAGAGTGCCGTGGTTCATTGTTTATTAATGTGTTTCATTTAGCGACCGCTGCAGTGCTGGCTGCTCTTCAACGGGAGTGTATTCTCCCGTTAGCTCCGGGTTAGCTCACACGGCTCTCAAGTATTCACTGTCTGACTGTCACACAAGCAGCTGATACATATCCCCAGTTCCCCTTAAGTGAATGTGTGTCAGTCTGAATTGACGCTGTTTGGCATCACAACGCTGTTATGAAAGTTTCTCTGGTATAACATGGGTGATGTTAGCATAGCAACCGAAGCTAAACTGACTACTTGCTAAGCCGTTTTCTACAGGCATTCTTTACCGGCGTATTTTTCATTATGATTCTACTTGTGATAGTCGGACATGACAACCTGTGCAGCCCATGTATTGATTCCATCCGATAGCTGCTATAATAACAAACAAAACGTCTGCCTGCTCTCCACAATGATCAATAACAGTGAACGGATGGTCAAAGTAAGGTTTCCTGCACGCCTCGACGTAAGAGACGTAAGAGACGTAAGCGACGCCGCGTCATAGCTCCGAAGCTCTTGCCTCTGGACCGACAATTTTTTGGAGCTGGAAGTGAACCGCATTCCGGAGCTATGACGCGCCGCCGCTGCGTGTGAACAGGAAAAACCGGCGCTTTTCCAGCTCCGAGCAGGAGCTGGAAAAGCGCCGGTGTGAAAGGGGCATTAGTGTCTCCCAGTGTCTCCCAGCGTCTCCCAGACCCAGCGTCTCCCAGTGTCTCCCAGCGTCTCCCAGCGTCTCCCAGCGTCTCCCAGCGTCTCCCAGCGTCTCCCAGCGTCTCCCAGCCCCAGCGTCTCCCAGTGTCTCCCAGTGTCTCTCCCAGCGTCTCCCAGCCCCAGCGTCTCCCAGTGTCTCCCAGCGTCTCCCAGTGTCTCCCAGCGTCTCCCAGCGTCTCCCAGCGTCTCCCAGCGTCTCCCAGCCCCAGCGTCTCCCAGTGTCTCCCAGTGTCTCTCCCAGCGTCTCCCAGCCCCAGCGTCTCCCAGTGTCTCCCAGCGTCTCCCAGCGTCTCCCAGTGTCTCCCAGTGTCTCTCCCAGCGTCTCCCAGTGTCTCCCATACATCATGTTGTGTCAAATGTTCATATAATCATTTAAATCATATATATATATATATGCAGGGGTGCAGATAACTGGTACGCAGGTACGCATGCGCGGCAACAATCTGAAATGCGTACCGTCACTTGTGTCACAAAGCGCATTTGCGTACCGACGTACTTGTGAAGCTTTTCCAGAAGGCGGTTAGATCACCGGACGACAGAGTCGGTCTCCGTGTGCACAGACATGCTGTTAACGTTGGTCTGTACAGCAGCCCTGCGCTAAAACAGCTGATCACAACGTTCACACGCTCCGCGGTGAACGAAACGCTGTACTCCACCCAGGGTTCTAGTCAGTCTAGTCTGATGTTGAGGTTAGGCTATGCCCAGGGTTCTAGTCTGTCTAGTCTGAGGTTGAGGTTAGGGTTAGGCTATGCCCAGTGTTCTAGTCAGTCTAGTCTGAGGTTGAGGTTAGGGTTAGACTATGCCCAGTGTTCTAGTCAGTCTAGTCTGAGGTTGAGGTTAGGGTTAGGCTATGCCCAGGGTTCTAGTCGGTCTAGTCTGATGTTGAGGTTAGGGTTAGACTATGCCCAGTGTTCTAGTCAGTCTAGTCTGATGTTGAGGTTAGGGTTAGGCTATGCCCAGGGTTCTAGTCGGTCTAGTCTGATGTTGAGGTTAGGGTTAGACTATGCCCAGGGTTCTAGTCGGTCTAGTCTGATGTTGAGGTTAGGGTTAGGCTATGCCCAGGGTTCTAGTCGGTCTAGTCTGATGTTGAGGTTAGGCTATGCCCAGTGTTCTAGTCGGTCTAGTCTAATGTTGAGGTTAGGGTTAGGCTATGCCCAGGGTTCTAGTCGGTCTAGTCTGATGTTGAGGTTAGGCTATGCCCAGTGTTCTAGTCGGTCTAGTCTGATGTTGAGGTTAGGCTATGCCCAGGGTTCTAGTCGGTCTAGTCTGATGTTGAGCACAACACTAGACCGACTAGAACACTGGGCTGGACTTACGGAAATAGTTCCAAACTGGTTGGAAGCCTACTTAAAGGACAGGTGTTTCTATAGGTAAATATACATCTGAGTGACATGTGGGGTTCCTCAAGGCTCCATCTTGTGACTGTGTAACTCCCTCTCTTGGATATCAGCATGTGAAGGACACTGTTCAGGAACTAGTTGATGCTCTGTATGTGATGACTACTTCCATTCTGGAGAGGATCACAGATACATGGATCCTGAGATTGAAGCTCAAGCCGGGGGCCAGGGAGAGTTTTCTAACAATAATAATAGATAATAAAATACTGTTTCTTACCTGCAGCGTCCTGCGTGTCTCTGAGGGGGAGGGTGGAGCCCAGACGCCCCCCTCCCATCTCAGGTGTGGCGGGGGGGCCTCGGGGCGTAGGCCTCCTGCTGAGCAGCTTCGTGCAGCTGTTCAGAGACCTGCGGGCCCTCAGCAGCGCACTGAGTGACCTCACACTGCTGACAGAGGGCGGTAGGTAAGGGAGGCCCCGCCCCCCAGGAGCTGCCACGCCCCCTCGCCCACTCAGCCAATCATGCACCTCCTCCTGCGACTCCAGGAACATGAGGGAGGAGTCAAACTGCAGCACCGCCGCGCCCTTATATGGCAGAAAGTGGTTGGGGAGGGGCTTAATGATGGGGGACGAGGCCTGTGTTAACTGGTGGAAGGGGGGCGGGGCCTGTGTTCGCTGCAGTCTAGGAGGCGGGGCCTGTGTTCGCTGTAGGCCGGGGGGCTGGGACTGTGTTAGCTGGAAGAAGGGGGGCGGGGCCTGTGTTAGGGGCAGGGCCTGTGTTAGCTGTAGGAAGAGGGGCAGGGCCTGTGTTAGCTGCAGGCTAGGAGGCGGGGCCTGTGTTAGCTGTAGGAAGGGGGGCGGGGCCTGTGTTAGCTGTAGGAAGGGGGGCGGGGCCTGTGTTAGCTGCAGGCTAGGAGGCGGGGCCTGTGTTAGCTGTAGGAAGGGGGGCGGGGCCTGTGTTAGCTGTAGGAAGGGGGGCGGGGCCTGTGTTAGCTGTAGGAAGGGGGGCGGGGCGTGTTTTAGCTGTAGGCCAGGGGGCGGGGCCTGTGTTAGCTGGAGGAAGGGGGGCGGGGCCTTTGTTAGGGGCAGGGCCTGTGTTAGCTGTGGGCCAGGGGGCGGGGCCTGTGTTAGCTGTGGGCCAGGGGGCGGGGCCTGTGCCATTTGGACCAGCCCATTGGGGGTCAACACCAACATGGGCTGCAGATAGAAGGGGAGGGGGGGTACTGGGACCACTTCCTGTTTAGAGGAATGGGAGCGCTTCTTACGAGGAGAAGAAGCTCTCCTCTTTCTCCTGGCTTCATCCTGAAACAGAGAGGAGGCGGAGTCAGATAGGGGGAGGAGTCAGAGAGGAGGAGGGGTCAGCGAGGAGGAGGAGTCAGATAGGAGGAGGAGTCAGGAGTCAGAGAGGAGGAGGGGTCAGAGAGGAGGAGGAGTCAGAGAGGAGGAGGAGAGGGGAGGAGTCAGAGAGGGGGAGGAGTCAGAGAGCAGAACAGCATCACTCAAATATATTCTGGAGATAAAAATGTTTAACTTGCGTGGCCGGTCTTTCTCAGTAAAATGTATTATTATAATAATTAGAGTAGGGGTCACCTTGGCCCTGGTTTCCTCCTGCAGAGCCATGGCCCTCGGCGTCAGGTTCCTCACCCTCTTCCCTCTGGGGGGGGTCACACCTGTCCCATCCTGATGGCTCATCACACCTGTCCCATCCTGATGACTCATCACACCTGTCCCATCCTGATGACTCATCACACCTGTCCCATCCTGATGACTCATCACACCTGTCCCATCCTGATGACTCATCACACCTGTCCCATTCTGATGACTCATCACACCTGTCCCATCCTGATGACTCATCACACCTGTCCCATCCTGATGACTCATCACACCTGTCCCATTCTGATGACTCATCACACCTGTCCCATCCTGATGACTCATCACACCTGTCCCATCCTGATGACTCATCACACCTGTCCCATCCTGATGACTCATCACACCTGTCCCATCCTGATGACTCATCACACCTGTCCCATCCTGATGACTCATCACACCTGTCCCATTCTGATGACTCATCACACCTGTCCCACTGCTCATCTCCCCCTCTATCTCCCACTTCCTAGGGGAGGCAGTGGTGGAGGAGTCAGGTTTCAGTGAGCAGGGGGGGAGGACAGAGGAGGCGTACTCATGATCGACGGGGAAGGGAGGTAGAGGACAGGGAGCAGAGCGCTGATTGGTCGGTACGGAGGGGGGCGGGGTCGCTTCCTGTCCGTCTTCAGCCTGAAAGAAAGAAAGACAGACTGATGACACCTAATGTAGCCCCGCCCCCTTTCCCACTTCAAAAAAGTCTGAATTTTGAGAATCATAAAGAAAAAAACAAATTTTCAGAAATTTAAAAATGTTTCCACATTCTTTAGAATTCTGTGATTTTCAGAATCAAGTCATAATTTGGGAACATTTGAAAATTAGGCAATTTTTTGAGATTTTTTGAAAAAAGTCAGAATTTAGAAAAAATAATTAAAGGTGGGGTAGGTAAGTTTGAGAAACCGGCTCGAGATACACTTTTTGTTATATTCCATGGAATGCTCTTAACATCCAGATAGCAATGAATATCTGAAGTGCTTTGACAAAAAATCCATAAATAAATATCATCTGTGGAAGCTGTAGTACTGTAAAAAGCACGACCAATCATCTGAGCCGGCCCGGCTAAAATAACTGGATGGCCTACCTGCCTGTCAGCCTTCCATCTGTGCACAAACTTATCTCGTGCCCTCATTGGTCATGTGCGCGTTCGTGTGTGTTGGAGGAGGGGCTCTGTGAGGAAGTGGCAGATTTTCTCCGGTTGTGTATTTTCAAATTCTAGCGATCTCGAGCTGGTTTCTCAAACTTACCTACCCCACCTTTAAGTACATTTAGATTTTAAGAAAAATGCAATATTTGAAACATTGGCTTTTGTCAGAGATCATTCTCAGCTCAGATTTGTGAGATTTTCAGAAAAAGTCTGAATGTGATCTTGAATGTAAGACAGTTAAAATGATCCGCTGAGGGTAATGGGGGGGGGGTCTATACTAAAGACCTCTAGGTTACCTGGGTCTCTTGCAGAGCTCCAGTCTTCTGACTCCCTCCGGCCACCATCACACCCTCACTGCGGCCCACAGGGGGCGGGCAGGGAGCTGGGCTGGGGGGTAAGAGTGTGGCGTTCAGGGGCAGCGGTAGCACAGAGAACAGAGGTAAGGGGGGGTTCAGAGGGGAGGGGGGCAGGATGGCCTGAGGAGGCCTCTGAAGGAGACCCCTGGGGCGAGTCTGTGTGTGGATCAGTTTCTCCTGCTGCTCCTCCTTGATGCTCCTCAGCTGCAGAATCCCAGACACAAAGTTGGCGCGGGGGGAGGGGGCGGGGCTAGAGGGGGGCGGGGCCAGCTGCACCCCCCCGCTGCTCCTCTGCCGGATCACCTCCCTGCAGCCGGTGGCGTCCACCCTCATGGCCTGCAGGAGGAGCAGGAAGAGGGGGGAGGAGGGGGGGCGGCTGCTCCTCAGGCTGTGGGCCACGCTGCACCTCCTCCTCAGCAGGAGGTTCCCGAGCCACGGAGCCACCGCCTCCTGCAGCTCAAAGCTCAGCCTCATGGAGGGGGGGCCGACATGCTGGAGGAGGCGGGCTCTCAGCTGCTGCTCCGACACCATCAAGAGGGAGGAGCCTCTGCGCTCTGTGGGGGGGGGGCCCAACAAGGAGGAGGCGCCGGGGCCCTCCAGCAGAGTGGAGCGGACCATCGGGGCGGGGGGGGCTCCGGGGGGGGGAGGGTCCACCGGGGAGAACCTGAGGCAGGAGGCGCATGCTTTATCTACTGGGATCCACTCCTGCATGGGCGGGGGGGTGAACTCCTGCTCCTCCTCCAACTGCACCACCTCCTGCTTCTTCTTCTTCTTCACCTGCTTCTTCTTCTTCTTCTTCACCAGCTTCTCTTCATCACTGTCCATGTACGGCACCACCAGCACCTCCTCCTCATCCTCCTCCTCCTCATCATCCTCCTCCTCCTCCTCCTCCTCCTCCTCTTTCTCTTTCTCCTTCTGCACCGGCGGCCTCCTCCTGACTCTCTTCCTGGTCGGCGCCACCTTCTGCGCAGGCGCCCTCCTGCCTGTGACCTGTGGACAAGGTGTGTTTCAAACAGAGCAGACTGCCGTGGACCAGCTGCTGCTCCCGACACATGGACTCTAACAAGTTACATTTTATTTTAATAATTTCCACTTACATTTTTTGTTGTTGAGTTTTTCTGAAAAAGTCAAAAAATATTAGTCAGAATTTTGAGAGAAAAAAAAAAAATATTTTCAGAACTAAGTCCACATTTTGAGAAAAGTCAGAATTCAACAATTTAAGAACATTCTTTTTCCAGAGTGTCGGCCATGTTGTGAAGGAGTACCTTCAGAGGACGCACAGGCATCGTTCCGCTCATCTTCCTCCACGTCCTCATGCACTGAGCGTCGTTACGCTGAGGGATCTCTGCTGCTATCCTGGCCCAGCGCCCTGACACACACACACACACACACACACACACACACACACACACACACACACACACACACACACACACACACACACACACACACACACACACACACACACACACACACACACACACACACACACACACACACACACACACACACACACACACACACACACACACACACACACACACACACACACACACACACACACACACACACACACACACACACACACACACACACACACACACACACACACACACACACACACACACACACACACACACACACACACACACACACACACACACACACACACACACGTCAGCGAGCGTTGGTACTAAGCCTCATGGGTAATGTAGTGCTTAGGGTATTTGAAGTGTATGCTGTCATCAGAAGCATCAGTGATGTCATTAAACCCCGGAACATAGTGACATCACTATGGAACACTCACGCTCCTATTGGCTAGCGCTCCAACACATTGTACGTGATGGGCTAAGGGGCAGAACATCTTTAAGCTGTTGACCAATCAGAAAACAGAAACAAACACCATCCTAAGCGCTTTTAATCAATCAACTTACAGTAATCAAGTTAAAAGCCTTTCAAGAATGTAAAGGTTTGAGTGCTGAGGGGATGAATGATGAAGTGATGTGTCTTTAGAGCAGGTAGAGCATATCTACGCCCTGATGGCAACAGACGAGATACATCTGAAGAACACGACCTGGAGAGTTCAGTGTGTGTGTGTGTGTGTGTGTGTGTGTGTGTGTGTGTGTGTCTCACCGACTCCGTGTTTGTGCACCAGCATCAGCAGCAGACCTGTCTCCTGTTGGTCAAACACTCCTTTCTTCACCTCCGCCTTCAGACAGTCATAGTACCTACACACACACACACACACACACACACACACACACACACACACACACACACACACACACACACACACACACACACACACACACACACACACACACACACACACACACACACACACACACACACACAACACACACACACCACACACACACACACACACACAACACACACACACACACACACACACACACACACACACACACACACACACACACACACACACACACACACACACACACACACACACACACACACACACACACACACACACACACACAGTTCACTTCCTGTCTGAGTACTACATTGCTGTGTCTCAGTTCGAGTACTTCTGTTCGTATATCTGCTGTTTTTAGTGTGTAAGTTCATTGTGGTTGCTCCGCAGTGTGTTTGAGACAACACTACACACACTACACACATTGCACACACTACACACACTGCCTCCCATGGTCCAATCAGCACGCACCTGTCTCTGCAGCCGGAGTCTGTGCGCCCGGGAACCTCCAGCCTGATCTTCCACCAGTCCTTCTCCCCGTGCCGGGACACGGCGTACAGCAGCAGCTGAGGGGGAGATCATTATTAAAGTTATTATTATGATGTGATAAGAGAGCAGAGAAGAGGGGCTACATGTTAAATACACTGATTGGGGCACAATTACAAAACTGATTTTTGAGTCACTGTTTACTGTTGTAGTATTTTGTAAATAAACATACTAACATTCATCACGTCTCATAACTCCTTCCGCCTGTTGGGCAGATTAATGAGTCCCCTTTCATCTGGGGGGTCTGCGGGACATTCATTACCTTACAGCCATGCTCACAGTATAGCACAGGTGTGTTTGGTCCCTGATGTTCAGGTAACCTTACCAAGCCATCGTAGAGCAAGAGCAAGAAGAGATGCGGGTGCAAATAGCAGTGTTAGCTACGGACACCCGGGTGCAAATAGCATTATTAGCTACGGACACCCGGGTGCAAATAGCATTATTAACTACGGACACCCGGGTGCAAATAGCATTGTTAGCTACAGACACCCGGGTGCAAATAGCAGTGTTAGCTACGGACACTCGGGTGCAAATAGCATTATTAACTACGGACACCCGGGTGCAAATAGCATTATTAGCTACGGACAACCGGGTGCAAATAGTATTATTAGCTACGGATACCCGGGTGCAAATAGCATTGTTAGCTACAGACACCCGGGTGCAAATAGCAGTGTTAGCTACGGACACCCGGGTGCAAATAGCAGTGTTAGCTACGGACACCCGGGTGCAAATAGCATTATTAGCTACGGACACCCGGGTGCAAATAGCATTATTAGCTACGGACACCCGGGTGCAAATAGCAGTGTTAGCTACGGACACCCGGGTGCAAATAGCAGTGTTAGCTACGGACACCCGGGTGCAAATAGCAGTGTTAGCTACGGACACCCGGGTGCAAATAGCATTGTTAGCTATGGATACCCGGGTGCAAATAGCATTGTTAGCTACGGATACCCGGGTGCAAATAGCATTGTTAGCTACGGATACCCGGGTGCAAATAGCATTGTTAGCTACGGATACCCGGGTGCAAATAGCATTATTAGCTACGGACACCCGGGTGCAAATAGCATTGTTAGCTATGGATACCCGGGTGCAAATAGCATTGTTAGCTACGGATACCCGGGTGCAAATAGCATTGTTAGCTACGGATACCCGGGTGCAAATAGCAGTGTTAGCTACGGACACTCGGGTGCAAATAGCATTGTTAGCTATGGATACCCGGGTGCAAATAGCATTGTTAGCTACGGATACCCGGGTGCAAATAGCAGTGTTAGCTACGGATACCCGGGTGCAAATAGCAGTGTTAGCTACGGATACAGCTAGCTTCTTAGTTAACATTAAGAATGAAGGTATTCTGACCTCGTCCTCCTCTTTGCTCCAGAAGCCTTTCTTCAGGCTCGGGTCCAACACCTGGTTCCACCTGTAGATCAGCTGAGCCGGGTCACGGCCCTCCATGAAGTAACTCACTGAGAGACAGACAGGTGGAGGGACAGACAGGTGGAGGGACAGACAGGTGGAGGGACAGACAGGTAAGAGACAGACAGGTGGAGGGACAGACAGGTGGAGGGACAGACAGGTAAGAGACAGACAGGTGGAGGGACAGACAGGTAAGAGACAGACAGGTGGAGGGACAGACAGGTAAGAGACAGACAGGTGGAGGGACAGACAGGTGTTAGTTTACCAGTCATGTAATAGTGTTAAAGAGTGATGTAACAGTGTTGTGTCACAGTGTGATGTCACAGTGTGATGTTACAGTGTGATGTCACAGTGTGATGTCACAGTGTGATGTCACAGAGTGATGTCACAGTGTGATGTTACAGTGTGATGTCACAGTGTGATGTCACAGTGTGATGTCACAGTGTGATGTCACAGTGTGATGTTACAGTGTGATGTTACAGTGTGATGTAACAGTGTGATGTCACAGTGTGATGTCACAGTGTGATGTCACAGTGTGATGTTACAGTGTGATGTCACAGTGTGATGTCACAGTGTGATGTCACAGTGTGATGTAACAGTGTGATGTTACAGTGTGATGTCACAGTGTGATGTCACAGTGTAGTGTTACAGTGTGATGTCACAGTGTGATGTCACAGTGTGATGTCAGTGTGATGTTACAGTGTGATGTCACAGTGTGATGTCACAGTGTGATGTCAGTGTGATGTTACAGTGTGATGTCACGGTGTAGTGTTACAGTGTGATGTCACAGTGTGATGTTACAGTGTGATGTCACAGTGTGATGTCACAGTGTGATGTCAGTGTGATGTTACAGTGTGATGTCACGGTGTAGTGTTACAGTGTGATGTCACAGTGTGATGTCACAGTGTGATGTCAGTGTGATGTCACAGTGTGATGTCACAGTGTGATGTCAGTGTGATGTCACAGTGTGATGTTACAGTGTTGTGTAACAGAGTGATGTCACAGTGTGATGTAACAGTGTGATGTCAGTGTGATGTCACAGTGTGATGTTACAGTGTTGTGTAACAGAGTGATGTCACAGTGTGATGTAACAGTGTGATGTCAGTGTGATGTCACAGTG